TTGGTTGTAGGATGCACATCGACCCAGAAAAAGCCCCGCTATTGTTTGCACGCCGCTGCACTATTTTAATCTCTTGGCCACTTGTCCAAAAAGTTAAAGGTATAGTTCACCCAAATATGATAATGCACACTCTCATGTCGTTTCAATTATGTTCTTATTTATGCAATGCAATGAACTGAGTATATTTCACGAGTTATTCTTAAAGGGACAATGCGTACTTTTTTAGGTATTTTATTATCTAAAATCATTCGTTTTATTCATAAATATGTCCTCAATGGTGTACAACTACCTGCCAATTATGTGACTTATCCTCGTAAACAAACGGAGACTTCCATGTAGTTCTGCCATCTTGAGTCATTATTTCACATCTATATACATAAACAAGATTCTCAGCTATAAGCTATTTTGAGTCATTATGTCACATCTGTACACGGTAACACTTTAGAATACGGTTCCTTCGTTAATGAATAACTACACAAGAACCAATGAGTAACACAATATTAACAATCTAGTAACTATTATTAACTAACAAGAAACTCTGATTTACAAACTAACTAGTAAGTAATAGCGCACAGATGAAAGTGGTAGTTCACCATTAACTAATCAATAACTTCTATTTTTTTAATACTTCCCAGAGAACTACTGAAAAAAGTTTATTAATAATAACTACTAGTAACTACTATTAACTAAAAGAAACTCTTATTAACGAATTAGTAAGTAATAGCTCACAGATGAAAGTGTTACTAGATACTTCTGTGGGAATTACTAATTATCTGGATTCGTATTATAAAGTGAAGATCATTGGAACTAACTAATGACTCAAGTGTTACTAAAGACATTTTCTAAAAGTATACTAAAGTTCACCAAAAATCTCAAACGGTTGCACAAATCATGACTAGATCATGTAGTAACACTTGGGTCATTACTAGTTAGTTCCAATGATCTTCACTTTATAGTACGGATCCAAATAATTAGTAAGTAATAGCTCACAGATGAAAGTGTTACTAGATACTTCTTAGATAATTACTAAAGTGAAGATCATTATAACTAACTAGTAATGACTCAAGTGTTACTACATGATCTAGTCATGATTTGTGCAACCGTTTGAGATTTTTGGTGAACATTAGTATACTTTTAGAAAATGTCTTTAGTAACACTTGAGTAATTACTAGTTAGTTCCAATGATCTTCACTTTATAATACGAATCCAAATAATTAGTAATTCCCACAGAAGTATCTAGTAACACTTTCATCTGTGAGCTATTACTTACTAATTCGTTAATACGAGTTTCTTTTAGTTAATAGTAGTTACTAGATTATTAATAAACTTTTTCAGTAGTTCTCTGGGAAGTATTAAAAAAATAGTAGTTATTAATTACTTAATAGTGAACTACCACTTTCATCTGTGTGCTATTACTTACTAGTTCGTTAATCAGAGTTTCTTGTTAGTTAATAATAGTTACTAGATTGTTAATATTGTGTTACTCATTAGTTCTTGTGTAGTTATTCATTAACGAAGGAACCGTATTCTAAAGTGTTACCCTGTACACATAAAGAAGAGTCTCGGATAGTATAAGCTATATAGAGTCATTATGTCACATCTGTACACATAAAGAAGAGTCTCGGCTAGTAGACTAAATTGAGTCATTATGTCACATCTGTACACATAAAGAAGAGTCTCGGCTAGTATAAGCTATTTTGAGTCATTATGTCACATCTGTACACATAAAAAAGAGTCTCGGATAGTATTAGCTATATTATAGTAGTGTGAGTACATTGAGGTGGATATTTATAGCCTTTACTCACAGCACGTGATATAATTAGACTTATCAATTTGATAAGCGGATCCAGAAAGGATTCAAACGACAATCACCAGTGACAAAAGCAAATTGCAAGCGGACCCATTTGAAAACAAGGACACATGTCGGAAAGACATTGCATGTAGTCACACAATGCTGACATTGTTAACATTAACAATTTGACAACAAAGTATAATTTGCACACATTTGCGTGATATGATAACTTAGAAGCGATTGTTAGATTTAATCAGCGTGATTTACTGCAATGGCCGAACCAGAACAAAAGTGGATGTTTTTTACTTGTTCTAGATGAGAAACTACTTACTAGGTCATACTTCCAAAGAATAATCTTTGATTCTGAATGCCAGTATCCACAGTCTCCTCAAACAGTGTGTTTATCCACGCTGTGCCGTGTCGAGGGTGGACAGCTAGTATGAGGTGGTGATGGGGCAGTGTAAGGCACATGCCTTTGGTGTGAGAGACCCGGGTTCGAATCCACTGTGAGACACCAATGTGTCCCTGAGCAAGACACTTAACCCCTATTTGCTCCAGAGGCGTATGAACTCTGACATAGATAGCAATTGTAAGTCGCTTTGGATAAAAGCAGATAAATGAATAAATGTAAACTCATGTAAACCTGATAATTCCGTGAATGACTGCAATGGCAGATTTCAAACAGAGATGGCGACAAAGAGGAAAAACGTCGGACTGCAGCTTTAAATATTGCTTTTTTCCCCTACTCCAACTCTTATTAGAGAACTAGTAGACTGTTGTAGAGTTCAGGTTAGTAGAATAAGTTGACATAGTTGCAAAGAATGTCAAAAGTGGACCATTGAAATAAAGTGAAACCTAGTTGTTGTTGTTGTTTTTTTCATTTGAAACATTGGATTTGAACACTGTTATTTGAATTGAGGCCTAGTGGTTAATACATGAGCTGCTTTTGGTGATAATGTGGGAGAATGAGAAAGTTTTTCCTGCTATGTGTTTTGCTTCAGATCATCAGATGCATTTAGAGCATAACCAAATTGCAAATATAATTTAATATGGCATAAAAATGTGTTATATAAAAGCATTTTAATGAGGAAGTTAGATTGTTGGATTTGTAAAACTGATTTCAGATGTGATATGGATGTTTTCACTGATCTAACTGCATTACATTGTAATCAAAGCATTGTGTGTATGATATCAGCGAATATCATACAGCAAGACTCTCTAAATACACTTAGGGGAAGCATCTAAAAAATGTCCACCTCAAAGCGTGTGTAAGTATCTGTCTGTCTTCTTTTTGTGGCTTCATGTGAGTGTATGTGTGTATCCTGTCCTCTGGAGGACACTCATCTATGTGTTTAGTCATTTTAATGATAACCACATTCTCTCTGCTTGCCATGCTCTTCATAATGACGCATGTTGTTGTTTTCAATGACCAAAATGAAACTCATATGCTTTCTGAGGCCCCCCTTGCATTTATACAATATTTAACAGCTGTGCGTTCAGATAAACCTCTTTTAAAACTCCCCATGGACTCATGTGTGTTGACATGACTATTAATCGTGTTATTACACTGTAATAAATGCATTTATAACAACACATGGAACAATTCTGTCTATGTAACGTTAATTATAGAATAACTGCATCAGTGTTTCGAGATAAACGTGTCACAATATATCTAGATTCATGTAGCCTATTACCCTATTTCATCAAAGTTCACAGTTATCTCTGTGACTAATGTTTGTGTCAGATGTTTCTTTTATATATATTAAAAGCAGGAGCATTTGAATGATTAAAAGCTACAGAAATATCTAAATATAAACAAGAACTCTTGGCATTTTTTAAAAGAAAGTGTATCAGCAACCTACTTACAAGTATAATTGAAGCAGAAGTGTTTGGCCGTACTGTATAATATGGAAAGTCTGTTGGTTAACTGGGTTAAATAAGTAAAACAAGATTATGGATATATTTAATGTTATTAGCCTAATCATTGAAATTGGACTTAAGGGATCACCTAGCAATCATTAGTAAAAAATATGGCAGAACTTTCCATATTAACTTTACATTTCAGTACAATTCTCCAATCATGCACTTTTTCCTTTCCATCTCTGTGAAAGGATCAGTTGAGTCCCAATGTATTCACACAGAAATTGAATTAAGAGTGGTGAAATCCATCTCGATGTGTGTGCAATCAGACCACTTTATAATGACGTCTTTTGTAGTGTAATGCTCTGACCCAAAGACCTCATTACAGGGAAGTTAGCTTTTATTGTCATTGTGTGTGTACAGAAACACGCACATACAAAATGAACAGACAGAGATGCACATTCTTCGTTGGTAAAATATTTCACAGTCCACTAAATCTAACCAACATGAACTGATCAAAATTTGTGCTGTACAAGCATTTTGTTGGACTAAATGGCAATTTGCATCACGTTCATGTACAGTAACTGTGAGCGTAAATTCAACAATCCAAAATTATCCCAGTGTAACACTGTCTTTGGTTCACAGCAGGTTAAAGGAGAAAATACTCAGCAGTGGCGTTGACTTATTTAGATGGTTTGTTTTAAAGCGTATCAAAAACACTGCATAGACATATAAACTACATTAAAAGCTTCATTTTCATCTAAACATAAATATAAACTGAAATAAATGTGCATCTTTACAAAATGTATTAAGGTTTCTCTCAATCGACCTTCCTCAGGCTTGACCAAAATTTTGCCAATAAAATTTCATATTGATGCAAGTTTGGGTCGTGTGAGAGGCACTTTACTTTTCTAAGTCTTCTGAAGTGAAATGGTGCTGAAATTTAAGTCATTAGGAAACTTTCCCTTCCACTGCAGCTCTCCGGTCACAGTCACCGGTCACAATTATGAATGAGAAATCAGAGCTTCAACTGTAAATTATTTTCTTTGGAAAAATATTTTTTTAATTCATTCTTTTGGGGGGGGTTTTAATGTATTATTTTTTTTCCTTTAATGCTAAAAGGGGTTTCAATTCGTAAATCTTCCAAAACAAGTATAAAACAACATTTGTTCTGTTGTTATTTCATTGCTTATTATTGTTATTAGTACTTTCGAATAATCGCACTGTTGCTTTTTAGCGTCTGATGTTCATTTTCCTGCTATTGTCTGGCATAGATGGCCCCGGCCTCCTTAGAGTGCGTCCCTCCCACCTCCCCAAACCCCCCCAGCCCTCCCTTCAGCACCAAACACACATACACACTCTCTCTTTCCTCTCCTTTTCTTCCACCGCTTGCAGCTTCAGACATTTGGGGAATCCTGAAACGAGTTGTTCCCGCAATTGCCAACTTAGCGTAGGCTCAATCTGAATGAACAGAGGAAACAGAAAGAGGCAGTTTCACTAAGACCGCTGATATTCCTGCCCTCCCACGTTCGCTCCTTCATGTCTTTTGTTGTGGACACTGGCTGCGCTGGTTGGACACCGTGAGACCCTCTCAGAGGCTTTTTGATTATGGACATAGAGACACTGTAGAGCCCTTCACACTGCATGTACTCTCGACTTGCTGGTAAGTGTCTGGTTTAAGATTTCCCTCTCTCTTTCTCTTTATCTTCAGCTGCCGTTTAATTTGACAGGAAGCCTCCATCAAGAGCTCGCCTCAGGTCTCTAGAACTTTTCCCCCAAGTTTTGTGACACCTCAGTCCCGTGCAAGCCTTTCCTGTCAGGGTTTCTCAGGCTTCTTCTTCCCCCGCTCCCTGGGATCTTTCGGAGTGCCTCAACTCGGATTACTGGCTTCCTCCTGTTGTTTGCGGGTGCAGGTTTTCTCCTCCGAGCTCCGGCTCCGCGCTCCCACGCTCTAACGCAGAGGGAAAGGAAAGCGCTGATAAGAGTTTCGGAGTCTCAGGGAGAGTGGCTTTTTGTTCATATGCTCGATGTGTGTGTGTGCGTGCATCTTATAGGGAGGGGAACTTTTAGCGGTGTGCAAGCCGTTTTCTTCACTTGTTTTGTTGTTTTTGGAGGTAACTTCTCTTTTTATGGGTGGAGGGGTGCGAAAATTGGAAACAGACCCACCCAGAGTCGAAGTGAGTCAGGCGGCATATGTGCATCTGTGTCAGTCTAGGGCAAATAACGATCCGACGTCTTGGAAAACGGAAAACGAGAGATGTTTCTAAATGTTAGGCAAGGCAATTCTCTGGAGATTTTAAAGGGCTTGGACTTGATTGCATGATGGACCACATGGTTTTGCATTCGGGAAGAGGAAAGGGGGGAAGAAGTGATGGGAAGGGATGATGCGTGTGTGTTCTGGGTGGGTGGAATAAGATTAGATGTCTGCTGCCTTGTAGACTCTTAAAAACAAAGCTTCTTTCTTAGTTTGTTCTTATCAAGGATTATTTCTCAAGGGTCCTTAAGTTGACTGTAAGGGTCATTATAGGTTCTTCAGATGGGTGTGTTGGTTTTTGGTTTCTTTAACACCATTAGAAGTTTTCTGAAGTCTAACTTTAAAAAGGTATTCTAGGCTGTTTGGCCAGGGTTTCTACCAAAATGGAACTAAACTGGAATGAGTGATTGAATAGTCAACATTTGCCACTGTAGTTTTACCTTGTCACAGACTTCTCTGAAACTGAAAGATGGGTTAATTGAGAGTTGTCTCAAGGATTTGATAGTTTTGTGGACAAGGCAAGGCTAATGTCGGAGACTTGAGAGGAAATGCCCTCTTCTCACATCCATGAGGAAGTGGCCTTGTGGCCAGCCTTGTGATGCATTAATCCCACAGACTGATGTAGACGTCGGTTTCCCCAAAATCTCATGGCTGCTCGCTTTTGTCAAGTGATATGCCCATTTTAACATCAAAATCGGGAAGTAAACATGTAATATGTTGAAGTATTTAGTTTTGAACTTTAAAGAGAGAAGCTCTGGTTATTCATACTGCCGTTTTATTAATTTGCTGAAGTAGTCAATGAAGAACATGCCATTAGCCCCGAAGACTAAGCGCTGGTCTCAATTGTGAGATAGCCAGTAGCTTTTGAACTAATATGAAACTCAAGTCAGGTTTTCTCTTTGTCCAGTCTGTCTCTCGAGAGGCCAGAGATTCCCATTGAGGGGTATTCATTTACACAGGGATTTAAAACCTTCTTCCTCTCATTATCCGCTCTCTGCTGCACCCCTGTCTCTCAGGAGCGCCTGTGCCATTAGTGATAAGACTGTGGAGCGGTAGCTTTTCCTGTCCTGAGCAGGAAGAGTCACTCTCTGTTCAGCCACTGACTTGTCCTGTATCCATCCTCTCATCCACTGGGAATATCACTGTACTCTTGAGGGCTGCCCTCGGATCATCCAGCTGTTGGCAACTGCCAGTCCATCTGGACCTCCACATGCTGCAAATTGATATCGCCCCTTTTATTGACCTATCAAAGATACATTCAGCTTATATGTTCATGGCGGGTTACTTTTAAATCTATAAAGTGGCTCCAAACTATTTATTTAGGAATACCTTCCATAAAATGTTCCCACTTCCTGACAGATACTGTATTCTGTAAACAGCAAAAAAGTATCTGACATACACATTAGCCAATCAGAAAACTCAGAGGCAGATAAGTTTGAGGGTGGGACTACCGGTTTGTGCAAACAATAATAAACGATGATTTTTAAGGTATTCTGTGTGAGTGCTGGTGGGTTGCTAAGTAGTGGCTAGAGTATTCTAAGTGTTTTTTTTTAGTTGTTGCTAAGGGGTTGTTTGGGTGTTTAGGATGGTTTATAGTGTGTTGCTAAGTGGTTGTCAGGGTGATGCGAGGTTGCTAAGCATTCTGGGTTGTTGTTCGGTTGTTGCTTAGGGGTTGTCAGGACATTGCTAAGTGATTGTCATGGTGTTAAGAGGTTGCCAGGCTTTCTGTGTTGTTAGGTTGTTGCTTAGGGGTTGTCAGGACATCAAGTGGTTTTTCAGGATGTTAAGATGTCGCTAGGGGTTCTGGGTTGTTGCGACATTGCTAAGTGGTTGTTAGGGCATTTCTGAGTGATGCTAAGCTCTTGATAAATGGTTACTTGGCTTTTCTGGATGTTTGCTAGGTGCTCTGTTTGGATACTAAGGTGTTGCGAAATATTTTCTGTGGTTTCCTGGGTGGTTACTTTGTTGTTTCAAATGGGTGGTAGGGTGTTCGGGGTTGCTAAGGCATTGTTAAGAGTTGCTAGGGTTTTCTAAGTGGTTGATGGAGTGTTGTTAAGCAGTTAGTAACTAGCTGTTCAGCTGTTTTAGACGTTTGCTTAAGTGTTCATGGAGGTTGCTAGAATGTTCTGGGTGGTTAAACAGTGTTTATGGGTGGTTGTTAAGGCATCGATAACTAGTTGCTATGAAGTTAAGAGTGGGTGCCATGTTTTCTAGTTGGATGCTTAAGTTTTGCCAAGTGGTTGGGTATTGCCAAGTGGTTGCTAGTGCATTTTTAAGTGGTTGCAAGGGTATTTCTATCTGGTGTTTTCTATGGTGTGATAAGTGGTTGTTAGAGTGTTTTTGGTGGCTTTAGGGTGTTGCTAAGTGGTTGCTAGGGGTTCTAGGTGGGTGTTGCTAATCTGTTTCCAGTGTATTCTTAAGTGGTCACTAGGGTGACTAGGGTTTCTAGAATGTTGCTAAGTGGTTGTTAGTGTGTTCTTAGTGGTTGCTAGGGGGTCTAGGTGGGTTTTACAGATGCTTGCTTTGGCAAGAGCACTAATTAATATGGTCAACCCTGGAAATGTGTGACAGGAAATCTGATCTCAAAGCAGCACTCAGCAACATGTTCTCCCAGAGGTCTGCGGTCAAGAGGGGTGAAGGGGTCGCCTCACTGCACATCCCTTCAGACAAAGATTGATCTTTAAACCTCTCCATTCCCAGACACGCCACATGTCCACACCATCAGAGTTAACAGCCCAGAAGATCCTGCCTGCATGATCCTATAAACAAATATTTGAAGAGTCTTGAAGAGGACTGATACTGTTTTCTTGCAATGTCAGATAGGATTTTATTTCATGAAGCCATTTATGTGGAATGGAAAGGCATCAGTAGGTGGCAGAGAAAAGTGTGTGACTTTTTAAGAGCGCTTGGAATCCATCAGCTGTAATCACTTACACAAGCTGCTTGAGACGTGGAAAAATATCTTCCATGCATGGCATGATAGTGCAGCTCCATACTGAGCAGGATATGAGAAAACTATTTTTGTCCTCAACAATTTTGGGATTATCCACATGAGTACTTTGTTTATAGAGTCGCAGCAAAGGTTCCTCTCAGATGTGGTCATGTGTTTGATGCCCTCCTCTGGTGACTTCAGTGTATTGAATAAATAGGAAGTGTCTATAATAAGTGGATGGAAAAGCCTCTTGCATGTGTTATGCTTTCAAACCACAAAATCAGACACTCCGTTTACATGAAATACGTGTCAAGTATGTGGTGGTTTGCCTTCGATTAGTTTCCTGTTGAGAATTAGGAGTATGTTTCCATTTTATTTTTCAGAATATATGGTCACCACAGGAAGTATATGCTAAATAATTATGTGTCGGCAGTGACCTGGTGACCTTTTGTGATGCATTAGAGTTGCATAGAGTTGTATATACATTGTATATCAATGTATTTATGTTATGTTATGTATGTATTTCTCTTAATTTCCCAAGATATCTAAACAAAACTTAACATGAATATCAAGTCAAGTATATTTATAGACCATTTTGCAAGACGTAAACAACACTGGTCCAGAAACACTTCCTGTTTCAGTTTGTAACCGTTTTCTTTATTACACATGTAAAGATGTTTGTTTAACTTTTTGATTCAGTTGTATAATTTCTGTTGGTTGTATTTTATCCCAGCTTTTATGTAGTGTTAAAAAACTGAAACAGGAAGTGCTTCTGGACCAGTGTTGTTTACATCTTGCAAAATGGTCTATATGCTTTTCACAAATATAGATTGCATCAAAGTAGCTTCAAAGTATCAATCAAAACATAATAACAATGTTCGTTTCTTAGAGGGAAAACATCCATGTTTGGTAGAGCTGATTAAGGGTATTACTAATTGGCGAATTAATATGAATGTGAATAATTTCTCATCAGATTCTTCTAACACCAAATGAGTCAATAAAGCCAAACCACTGTACTTGAGTTGTATACTTGATATGTTAAATTCTAAGGATATTTTGGGGAAGCATTTGAAACTATGTATCATCTAGATCTCAGAAGCAATTACGTTTCTCATAAGCACAAACAAGCTTGTCCAGTAAACATCTCGGTTGTCAACATCATCTCGCTCGCTATCTCTCAAGTAGAGGAGGTTATTATGTTGTGCGCTTCCTTATCAGTCGCTAAACAAATGTCTATTAAAGTAGGGGAAAACCTGCTGATGGCAGTCCCAACATTTCCTGGAAAAACACATAGAATGGCCAGTTATTAATTTTGTATTTCCAGTGAAGTCCTTACTGTAGCTGATTCATGTTTGCAGCTAAACATGCATTTGTTGCACCAACAGTTTTGTAACTTTCAAACACAGGTTTGTTTGGGGTTAATGAAAAAATTTGAATACTTTTTTATAAATACTAAACAAATGACATTTTTTTAATA